ATTACCCAGAAGGCTTTGCAGTCCCAGTCCTGGAAAATGAAAGCCCAGGGTGCAATTGCCATGGCATCAATTGCAAAACAGACCAGCTCCCTAGTACCTCCATATCTGGGAATGATACTGGCCGCATTACTGCAAGGCCTGGCTGGAAGAACATGGGCAGGAAAGGTAAAGGAACCATTCATGCCCAGTTAAATTGAAGGTATCCTTAAAGGATTATGATTTCATCTTTCATTTTCCATAAAAATTAGAATCTGCTTTTGTGGGATGTCAGGTGGATTGTTTTATCTGAACCAGCTTTTCTAGCCAGTGGGAAGCTCTGTGTAAACTTGGCCTGATTAAATATGATGTTTCATGAAAGCGTAACCCACATGTTTTTGAATACTGCATAGTAATGCTGGAGATTGATTTTTATCTATCACGTTTAGCTTTCCAAGAGAAGTCTTAAATCACCTGGTTGGCTGTTTCATACCTGGTGACCTCGTGAACAGATCAGGATTTGGCACACGTGAAATTGAGTAGAAAGCAAGTTGTGCCTAAACCTGGAGCTGAGGGTGCCCATCGCCGAGGCCTGTGAATTAGTCACTTCATACACACGGGTGATAGTAGATTACTTAGAGTGAACACTCAGCGGGGAACATGACATGTGGCAGCATGTAACAATCTACTTGCTGTGGTCACAGTCAGTGGCGGCCAACACAGTACTGTAGAAGAAGTGCTGGACTGGGACTTCTGTGATTGACCTTGGACAAGTCAGGTCTCTAGGCTTTCTAAAGTGGAGATGAAGACACTTGTCCTCCCTCTGTGGTTTGTAGTAAAACTCTGTGGATGTGCTTGTTAAATAGTAAAGTGTGTTAAAGATACTATGACTCTGGCTAAGTTATTAAATACTCCTCAGGTAATGCAGTCATCGTATATAGAATGTCAGTAACACACATGTGCTTAACAGTATTCCCTCATCTTTCAACCCTTTAGGAAGAGCTGTTGAAAGCCATTGCCTGTGTGGTGACAGCATGCAGGTAAATGTTCTTCCAGTGACGATGCCATTTCTTAAACAGAACCCGAGAGCTGCATTCCTTACTAACTGTCCTGATTCTTTTGTGTGGATCCTCTAGTGCACAGCTGGAAAAGCCTGTGCCCAATCAGCCCAGCACAAATGAAATTCTCCAGGCTGTTCTGAAGGAGTGTTGCAAAGAGAATCTTAAATATAAGATCGTAGCAATCAACTGTGCGGCGGATGTCTTAAAGGCCACCAAAGAAGACAGATTCCAGGAGTTTTCGGACATTGTCATACCTCTCATCAAGAAGGTAACCACCACCTGTAAACCCTTCTGGTTTATTTTATTTTATTTTATTTTATTTTATTTATTATTTATTATTTATTATTTATTTTTAAATTTATTTTTTGACATTTATTTATTATTGAGAGAAAGAATATGACTAGCGGAGGGGCAGAGACAGAGAGAGAGATACAGAATCCAGAGCAGGCTCCAGGCTCTGAGCTGTCATCACAGAGCCTGATGTGGGGCTCAAACCCACGAACTACGAGATCATGACCTGAGCTGAAGTTGGACGCTTAACTGACTGGGCTACCCAGGTGCCCCCATTCTGGTCTAGTTTATAAAAACTAAATTTAAAAAGATTAAAAAGAAAAATTTTTTAAATTTTGAAACTTAAAAACTTAAAAAATTTAAAAAGAAGGGAAAGAAAGGAAGATTTTCCACGTACCCTGTTTACATATTTTATTAGGATTAGTGTAACTGCAAATAGTGGAAAATCCCGCAATATCATGGCCTCAAACAAGATAGATGCTTTTCTGTCACCTAGGAGCCTAGGCATTCTGGCTGATTATGCTGTGAGCTCTGCCTTCCCTACAGTGTGCAGGTGTAACTGCCTTCCAGGCGGGTGGTGGCAGAGGAGATGAGGAAATGATGCAGGATCCAAGTAGGCATGGCCATTCTCTCTCAAGGAGAGTTCTTGGACACTTTGTGGCACTTTGACTTGTATTTCCTGGTACTTAGCTAGGTGGCCACACCTGGCTGCAACAGAGGCTAGGAAAGGTAGTCTTCTAGGCATCCATTTGCCCTTCATGGGAGAAGGGGAGAGTGTGTGTTTTGTTTTGTTTTTTAAACAGAGCAGAAAGAGCAGTTTATTGCAGGGATTTCAGCCCGCAAGCTGAGAAACTCATGGCTATGGGAACAGTGAGTTGCAGGAGTGAATGTTGGAGCAAATGGACAGTCTCTAACATAGTGGTGATGTGCTTTTGCCTTTTAAGTGTGTGCAGAAGCCATCCTAGTCATCCTAGAATGAAGACAGGGAGGTCAGTGTGTCACTGTTTTGTTGTTTTAATTTTTTAATGTTTTTTAAAAAATTTTTTTAACGTTTATTCATTTTTGACAGAGACAAAGTGTGAACGGGGGAGGGGCAGAGAGAGTGGGGGGCACAGGATCTGAAGCAGGCTCCAGGCTCCGAGCTGTCAGCTCAGAGCCCAATGCAGGGCTCGAACTCACAAACCCCGAGATCATGACCTGAGCTGAAGTTGGACACTTAACTGACTGAGCCACCCAGGCGCCCCAGTGTTTGTTTATTTCTGAGAGAGAGACAGAGTGAGAACGGGGGAGGGGTGGAGAGAGAGGGAAACACAGGATCTGAAGCAGGCTGCAGGCTCCAAGCCGTCAGCACACAGCCTGACACAGGGCTGGAACCCACAAGCCGTGAGATCATGTCCTGAGCTGAAGTCAGACACTTAATTGACTGAGCCACCCAGGCGCCCCCTCAGGGTGTCTCTGTTATTTGTCTCTACTGTATATTGAGGGGACTTTGATGAAAAAGACTTAGGTGTCATTTGGAAAATGAAGTACTCATTTTTGGAGATTAGACACTGGTTCAGAGAGAAAAAACTTACGGCTTATCATTTTTTTAAGAAACATGAAATGTTTTAAATAGGATTTGTATTTCTTGTGTTGCTGCTCGTTGGTTTTCTTTTAACAAAAAGTAGTTTAGATAATTTCTGTTATATACTGATATATGGGTATACATGGATTTAGTTAGGAGACTGTGTTTTAAATACATTATTTCACCAGCTAGCTGCATGAGTCACCTCTCAGCTTGTTTCCCTTTCTTATTAAGAAAGAGTTTGGATTTAGATGATTACCAGGTTCTTCCATTTTTAATCCCATGACTCAAATGCAAATCTTTTTGTATTATGCTTAAAATACTACATATACAGGGGTGCCTAGGTGGCTCAGTCAGTTAAGCATCTGAGTCTTTTTCTTTTTTCTTTTTTGTTTTTGAGAGAGAGAGGGTGCAAGTGAGCGAGAGGCAGAAAAAGAGAGAATCCTA